TGCCATACAATATTTAGAGGTGACACAAGCAAATTTTAATGTGCTATCTGAAATGCTGCCAGCTGATTTAACAGCACCGTTAACATTAAGCTATCGAGTGGAGCTTTTAAAGCTCGCACTAGAATTGCCAACTGGGAAAGTTCGCTGTGCTGTTAAATAATTTTTCTCACTCGCTTTTATTTCATCTCTGCCTAAGTTCGCTTTGGCGCACGGAGCGCATCGACTGGATGATGGGACAAGAGGTGCGCGGTTCTGTGGTGGGCTTTCTTGGCTTTGGTGGTATTGGTCAGGCTATAGCGAAGCGCTTGCAAGGTTGGGAGGCAGCGAAAATCATATACCATACACGCACGCCGCGCGAAAATCCATTTGGCGCAATTCACGTTCCCTTCGAACAACTGCTGCGGGAAAGCGATTTCTTGGTGGTCGCTTGTCCGTTAACGGCCGAGACGCGCGGCAAATTTAATGCGGGTGCATTCAAACAAATGAAGACGAACTGTGTGTTTGTAAATGTGGGCAGGGGAGGTGGGTATTTGAATGACAACCTAATGCTCGTATAATATTTTTTGGGAAATTATTAATTTCGCAATTTTAATTTATATTATGTTTATGAAACTTTATTTAAAAATTTTGTCGTAGGCATTGTGGATCAACCTGCGCTCGTCAATGCTTTGAAAACTGGTGAAATTGCCGCTGCGGGCTTGGATGTAATGACACCGGAACCACTTCCAGCGGACGATCCACTTCTGAAATTGCCAAATTGTGGTAAGAATCAAAAATATTAATAGATACTGACCCCAAAGGAGTTTAATCAGTGAAAAACTTTCTAGTCGCTCAAGAAAGCCTGTCGTTTATAAGTAAAGCATTTTCAAAACCATTTCAATTGATACCCATATTGTAATATATAATTCATTAAACTTATTAAATAATTTTATTACAATTTTTAATAGGTGGCAACCCGTTTCAAAAACAAAAAACTTTATTGCACATCTATAGGCCAAGCACTGTCATTTGGCACCTCACTTTTGAAAATAGAACAAACTATATACATTTCCAACAATAACAATTTTTTTAAATTCGGTCAGGAATTTTTTGAAATATAGCCATTTTAAATTTTCGAAAATTCCCCCTGCACCCCTCCATATCACCGAAAATGTAAGTTTGCACCAAAAAATTGTTATACCAGTAAAATCAGGAAAAACAGGCGGACCACGCCCACCTTTTCGTTTTGTTCTAGTAGGTGTCACACATTGAGCTGCCTAGGTACTCACATCAATTAGATTTGCATTTCTTTAAGTCATCTTGAACTTTTATTCCGTTTCTAATTTGTTTACTTTTCTTCAATATTTTTGCAGTTGTAATACCCCATTTGGGCACGCAGACGATGCAAACGACAACTGAAATGGGCTTAACAGCTGCTAATAATATACTCAACGCACTGGATGGTAAACCGATGATTTGTCCAGCGTATTAAGTGCCATTTGATGTTAACAAAAATATTTTGCATTTGTTGTTATTATAGAAAATACGAAGTAATATATAACATTAAAAAACTTTGTTACTTTATTCGCTTTTGTCGTCATTTGCCTTC